CCAGATGTTAAAATATATAAAACATACTTTGACTAGAAAGACTTACTCGTCGAAGAGTGTCGTAACGGTACCCGAACGTCCCAAAACTAGATGCGAACAGGCTGGTTTGAATGTGCCTATGTCAACATTAATCAGTTTAGGCAAAACCAAAATTTGCCAAGTCCACTTCTTGAGTTAGGCAGATTTGTTTTTTTGCTCTAGCGGCTGATTTATATCAGATATGAATGTTTGAGCAACACAGAAAGGTAGATCTTTTCCCAACGAATTCGGCAATACCAACATCGACAGAAAGTACTCCAGGGCAATATATTTATTAGTGTGACGATATGTAAACAATACAACAACGTACGAATCGTTTATCTTTACAGCGATGTACTTTTCAATGCACATTTAGACAAAAAAGCGACATAGAAGAGTTAACCTGCAATGCATGATCATCCACAATGCAGTTACAGCTGGCGGTTTCTCTTATAAATAATGGCCAGATCAATGTCAGCCTAGAAAAATAATGTTCAGTTATAAGTTAAACAACACTTGCAAAGAGAATAAATGCATAAATTGTAATGTTTTTATAAATTTTATAACCAATTCAAATTTACGTCCTTGCTAGTAATTTCATATCCAGCTTATGAGCCATGTTGAAAACTCAATAATAGCAGGCGCGCCATATATATATATATATATAATTCCATATATATATGTGCTTATGGGGGCCTGATATATAGAAGCGATGGCGAACCACTGACCCGCGTTTCAGACCTACAGAGGTCTTTCGGTGACACGCCAAATCAGGAGTTAAAGCCAAAAATCATACTGACCTTTCAATGATAAAAATTGGTAATTAAACCGGCCCCAATTCAATCCACCAGTCGCAATATAGAGGCCGCTGAATGAAAACTACATTTACCCCTTTTTGCATTAGTCCCTGCAATGAATGTGCAGAATATTTTGTTTTAGGATCTCCGCGACAGATAAAAAACGTTGTCTTAAAGCGATTTCAGAAACTCTAAATCGTCAGATTTTCGCGTTTATTTTAGTTACCAACGGAAGCGATACTATAGCATTGAAGAAGAAAAAACTCTGCACAATACGCCCTTTTATCCAATGCCTGTTTCAAACGAGCCCTGATAAATTATTTCCACGATCGACAAAATATTGAAATGAGTGGAATAGAAAAGAATAACATATATTTGCGTATTATAATGCTGTGCTGGGCACCCACTATGCGAAAAAAGGTACACATAAAACATCTCACATAAAAAACATGTACATGCCAAATCATGCACAAACACAATTACCTCTATAGTGATGATTTTCCTGCTGTTTCATAAAGGATTGCAAACGAGACTTCAAAGAAGTTTCTGCAACATGCATAGCTCTGCAGCAACGACCATTCGATTTCTTTGCTTCGTTTTAATTGAAGCTAGTGATGATAAGTAACTGGTTGAAAAAACAGACAACTGCTTGATTACTCTATTGATTAACGATGGGTTATCAAGAGATATTCAGAATTGTGACAGTGATTTTTTAAATCTTAACTGTAAAATAGAATCACAACCCTAATCAAGCCTTTTCTTTTTCATCGGGTTATCGGATTTATCACATTAATCCCTCTGAAGTTGATCGCCGCCTAAAACAAAATGAATTTACCTTTTATTTGGATGATCATATTAATCAGGAAAAGCATGTAGAACAGAAAATCACGCGTGCCGATTTTTAGGTTTTTTAATCTTACCAGATTTGAAGGAGTGCTTTCGCAATGAATCGAAACCGAAAAGGCGAAGAGTGTTATAACTCGACGACGTCGATTAATACCGCACTTATCAAACAGCAATATGACGGCGGAAAATGAAATGCGTAATAAATCAACATAACTTCGTCTTTTATCTTCGGTAAAGCGATTGAGACAGCAGAAAAACAACAAAACAACGAAATTTCTCGCGGACCGGCAAAAATTCTTCGCGGACCAGTGGTTTGGAACCCCTAGTTCATGTTGACCGTGGATTGGAGGGGAAAAATTCAATATCAGCTGAAAAACCATCTCTTTCAAAGAGTGTTGTGATCGAGGTGATTTTCCATAGCGCCGTGGTAATTTTTGAAATCCCACATTTTTGACGACTGTCTGCGCTCTTTTACGACGAAAGTGTATGCATAATTTTTCTTGTGGTATATATACGAGTTCTACTTTGCAATTTAGTCTCTTCCCGCATACGATGCCGTTTTCGAAAAATGTTTTGTAGTCATAAATTAACGATCCAGAAATCTGAAATAAAAATAAATCAGGATGGTGGTGACTCTAATGCGGTTGAATACAGATCGATAAATATAATTCTTTTTTCTTTAAGAGTGGAATTTCTTTCCAACTTTTCGAAACCACCATAAACGTTTTTCGGTGATTCACATACATTCGAAAGTATGATTTTGTACATGAATTTCATAACATCGAGATGCCACAGCACGTTTTTTACTAACACAGACATCTTTTCCATAATAAAAATAAAATTTCTGGTATCTTTTGTATACAAAGCCCCCGCCGCAAAGCAAAAATGTGAGCTTTGAGAAAAACCTCAACGCTGAATTTTTGAATAACAAATTAGTGATTATCCTGTTTTAAGGGTTAGAAATGATTCAAAAATTTGAATTTTCAGCGAAATCTGCATTTTAACCCTAACTGGATAAGTACTAATTTTCTTATTTTGATCGTTGGACTCATCATAACTCATTTATAGGCCACTAATAGCCTACTAGATGATACGTTTGGAACAATGCAATTTATCAATGCAGTATCGTGTCCGCGTCCAGGATGCGGCGTGGTAAAAACGTGTCGACGGCTCTGAGACGGCGCCGAAGATAACAACTCGTTGGTGAACTTGAAACAAATGGAATATAAAAGTTAGGAACAGTTTACACTTGAAATGAATGGAAACGAAAGAATAGAATTTGAATGTGGACTATGTTGCTGGCTGTCATTCCAATTTCATAAGGTGAGAAGGCATTCGAATTGAACTACGTTGCTCCTACAACACGACAGACACGTCGGATTTTATTCATACATATAAAGATCTATAAAGATTTCCATGCTGAGACATTCAGAATTTAATTAATAATTTTGTTGACACTGTTTTCAACTAACACATTACTTTGCAGTTGTTTACCTCAATCAAGTTATAGGTTTGCTTTGGTGTAAACAAATTGGAACCCACCATGCCTGTAGTGTGTTCATGTTACACAAGTTAGACGCCCGAATGATACATGTTTGTGTTTTTTTTATCTTTCTTCCTACATGTTTGTGTGTGTAAGATGAGTTAACTGACACTTGTATTTCCACGTGTTTTAAACTTCAATAAAGGTATTGCCGGCTTTCCCGATGTTCCCAAACTTTTGGGTGTTCGTTGTTTTGTGTACGTTTTTTTTTCGAGGAAAACAAAATAAACTTATATATACTTATGTTTATACTAAGTTTGTCTGGGAACTAACAGGCGTGCTACATTGTTCAAGCAATACATTATCGAAGATAGCTGTAAACTAAACTCTCTGCAGACTGTAAGTAAACTAATCAGCTTGGCCTGATTAGAAACTTTGTAACAATTTGTCATCTGGCATTGAACTCAATTTCTGGAGAGAAATTGAGTAAATGCTAGATCTATCCATCAGACTACATATGCAAGCAGAATGATGATGCATTCAGAGTCATTGAGCCATTTGTTGCCAATTGGGCGATTTTTCCGTTATTTCGCAAAATTTTTGAACCTATGACATTGGCAAACTATTTCAATCATCTTGAAGATTTTAAAATGCCGAAATCAAAACCTATGTAAACAACTTAAAACAACAACAAAATTGATTTCAAAACAACAACTTTACCCTTTGTCCGACCCTCACCCTTTGTATGTAACGCAGTTATTCGCGAGCGAACATGACTGTGGGTGCCAATGTACATGCGTGCAAATGTTCACAAGGGCTAATTGTACATAGGTGCAAATATCCAGGGTAAAATGTACTAAAGTGCAAATGTACGTGTGCGCAGATGTCCATGGGTCCAAATGTCCGAGGGTGCAATCAATATGGGGGTGTTGAAATAGGTGGATGAAAATATATGTGCAAATAGAGCAAATGTAACGAGAGCAAATGTATGCAGATACAGATGTACTGGGTGTAGTTTTTTGGGGTACAAACGTACGTGGGTGCAAATATACCGTTACGTACGGTACCGTACAGTAAACGACTTTGTTGTTTTTTGGACCGCCTGAAGTATGCGCACCAAGATGGCGCACAACCTGAACTCAGGTTGTGTACCAAGTTGGGGTTCAGGTTATGCGACATCTTGGTGCGCATACTTCAGGAGTACCGTTTTTTGATGGCAGTACCCGGCACGTTCATATTGCATTGTACCTATGCACAAGAGCCGCCCGCATGTTGATTATAATTAGCTTTCATGTCTATATGATTAACCCCTTCTACATGTTTTTTTCTGCTAGGTGGGTAAGCACGTATTCATGTACGTTTTTAGGCTAATCTGCACCTAGTGGACTTTTGAAATTTTTGTCATGTTTCGGGCAGAGGAGCAAAAATGAATGATTGATTATTTATGGGAAATCTGTAACAAATATTGTATATAGGTTTGTATTTTGAGACACCACAAGCTAGTTTTCGAAATAAAAAAAAGTCGAACAATTTGTCCAGTGGCCCAGGAAAGCTGAAGTAAATAAATAAAAATATTACCATTTGACTTGAATAAATATGTGAAGTTCGTGACTCAAAAGATTTGCGTTAGGAAAAGTTCGATGACTGACAAAACACTAGAATGGTTAGAAATCGCCGTTTCGCGTGTGAAACAAATAGCAGTGTTTGCTCTTTGCTGGTAGCGAGTCGTAAACTTATACTTTTAGCATGCTCCAGTGAAGAATTAGTCCGCCATATTTGATGCTTAATACGCGAAGGCCTGCGATTTGAGTGAGTTGACCTGGCATTCCGAACGACTCCAATAAATAAACACTAGATTCATCAAATGAGGAATATATATATATTTTTAAATTGTTCACAATATTACATAATCATTTTCAATCCATCGGATTTTAGGTGCATATTCCAGTAAAAAATATGGACGGACGGGGATACGCAAGTATATTATCATATTTAGGGAGGGGAGATACATTACTAGAATTAGTGCCCATCGTTATTTTATCACAAGATGGATTATGTACGGAATTGTAACCGAAAGCGCATTGCTTTCAGACCACATTATTGACCCAAGTAGGGAGCAGATGACAGCTTGCCCATGCTTTATTATATTGAACTGACATAAATTTACCAAGCTTGAAAATTACAGATTTACCACCCTTTTGATTGGTCACAAATTACATATGAATTGGTGTGACAGAATATTTGTAGTTGCCATAACAATTTCGATGAATCGGCAGTATTTCTTGAACGAAATAATTATTAAAAATCTAGATAATTTATAAGATATGCCTCAGACGATCACCAGGCACCATCTAAACAGTGTTAAATGTAAATTATAGAAAAGAAAAGTAAAAATTAATAACTGGTAATATGAAATATAAAATCACTAAAGATGCATTTCATCAGTGTCAGTCAGAATACAATGTTGTTTATGTTTAATCAACATACATTCACACAATATGTCTAAACTATCACAAGTCTTAAAAATCTCTTTCAACAGCAGTATTTATTTTGAACTTGAATCAAATGATTTATGATCGCACTTACTGGATTTCTTAAATATGCAATTGAATAATCTCGTTACATACAAAACGTTTTGAAGAAACCCAAAATAATTCAGAGCACACTAGATTGGTTAAATTCTGATAAAAATTTGTTTTCAAACAACTGCAAGGTTTTGTCGCTATTGGATTGTTTCCTAAAAGAATTACCATGAATTGAAAAAATTTATAAGAAACCTGAAATAGACTATTCTGGGAACTGAAACGCAATGTTTTCAGAATTGAGGTGTGCTGGACACAAGGTGAAAATTTAAACTATTGAAGATGGTAAGGGAATATGATTAGGATTAGCTTCACAAGCTAACCATGTATTTTCAGGTGCGGAAAGGAACTGAAAATAAGTCATTTGTCAGATAAATTGAAAGACATGGCACTGAGAGTTCTCCATAACAAAAATATTTAAGAGTAGACCAATTATATGCTGCAAAAATGAAAGTAAATAAAAGTAAAATATTGTAATATCAATCTGGTATTATTTATCATGTATTCTAATAAAACCAGGGAGCAAGCCATACCGTAGTTTCACTTGGCAGAAAATGAATGCAGTATCAGTTTTTATTCTTGAGAAGTATTCCCAGGCGCATGTACCAGTCAAATGGTATTATTTATAGGAACAATGCACTACAGAGGAAAACCTATACATGAAAATACTGGAAGAATATGCGAATGTAGATTTGTTCAAGAAAAAAAATATGCGCTATGCATATTGAGGAAAACTATATTCTGTATATCTAGAAATCCCTTTATAGATAGTCTCGAAGTTCTTTTTAAGATATTGCACTTATTGCATCGAATTTTCACAAGAAATATTCATTTTCTTGTTACCATGATGAACTCAAATAAGTCACATCTCAACCCCATTCCTCAGAGTGATCCCACAACCAAAATTTAATTTTTCCAATATTCACAATGTTTGATTTGGAATTGAGAGGATGCTTTGTAAAGTTTAATGCAAAAATTACCCACGTATGCAACAGAATCAAATTTCAATTGAACAAAAAAATGTCAACTTTCACATTTACATACTGTCATGATTTTGTTACGTTATGAGATAGTTTTAACAGATTCATTATCAAAAATAGAACAAAGATTTAATTGACTCAGTTAAAGAGAATCCTTAGGTGAAATAAACACTGAATTGTAGCCTATTCATGGCAAAGTAAAACAATGGCAAAGTTAATTAAACACTCACACATTAATTATATAATTAATTATATAAGCACTAAATGTTTATATCACTTGATATGTCACACATATTATCTCTCCAATAATTAAATGTACTAAACTCATGAGTATCTGAGAAGTCAGTACATTCTGGTGAATCAAGTGCGGGAAAGAAAGTATCAACGATGTCTCCAAGTTCCGAGTACCTTAAAAGTTGTAAATTTATATATTAGATTTATATATTAGGAAGAATCCATAAAATTGGAAGGTCAAGGAATAGCTGCTGAATGCAGAAATGGGTGGTCGTTATTTTATTTTCTGCTATCAATAAAAAATTTCACTGTTTACATTGAATATATTGACGAGATGTTTGTTATAAATCAATTTTTATTTTTAAATACAATAAATACACATTACGATTACGAATAATGAGAACAAATTATCCAGAAAGAACAAACCGTAACCTCAAATTGGTTTTGTTTTTAAACAAGGCCCAACACCATCTTGTATAAATAAAGCTTCCCCACTAGAGTTTACATTCCTAAAAAACCTAAAAAGGTACTCACGATGTAGTATATGTTTGTAAGTCTTCCTGTTTTAATTCTCCTCTGTGATTAATTGTAAAAACACGTTTATTCGGAATACCAACAGCAGTGTATGCAACAACGTCCTAAACAAAAATACATATACAATAAGAAAAAGCACAAAACACTGAGAAAACGATCATTTCTAAAGTAAAAGGATTGGAAACGCATTTTTGATGACATATTAACAGTTTTTAAGTTTTATATTTACACTACATTCTACAAAACAATATTTAAAGTTAAATTTGCCAAATTACCAGGGATTTATTTTAGTGCTTAAGTGCCAAAGTATGTCTTTTGAAGTATGTGAGGCATAGGTTCACGACCTGGTGATTTGGGGTTATGTCGATGCGCCTAGTCACAAGTGCAATTTGAATCAATATATTATAATTTTGCAAAATTGCAATATATTTAATAAAGTTTTCAATTTATATTAAAAAATCTCACATTAATTTTGTTTCCAAATCCTGCTGCAAGAGGTTGTTTGTTGATCGGAAATAAGGCTTTTATATCTTCCAAACATTGAATTTTGAACTTCTCCGGCTTTTTCTCAATCACTTCTCTAAAAATGAAACAAAGGAGATAAAAATTGGGCAAGCAATGCGAAAAGCAAAAAGATTCGAATTTATTTTAAGCCAGTAGTCACCGCGGCAACGTGTGACAACTCGAATAGAACAGAGGATTGTTAAAAGCAAAGTTGTGAAGCATGTCAATAAATGAAGACTATAGCATGAAAACCTCAGCATCAAGTCAACTGAGTGAGAAGATAGCAATAAAAGTTTCTAGCGACTTACGATACATTAAGAGGTAAATTATTTTATTACTCAAATACAATTTGAAATATACTGAAATTTATGTCAATTGCAAAACAAATGCAATCTTCAATATGTTGCATGATGTAATGTTGATCATAACTTGAGTTGCAGAATGATAAAACTGCTGGGAACTCAATGGACACTTAAACAGAGCTCCGACAGGCTGAAACCAGCTTGGCATGGCAAATAATGCAGCCGGCAGCATATTTAAAATTTGTAACTTTGAAGATGCTAAAATTCCCTTGTCACCAGTGTTAACTCTAAGCAAATTATGAGTGCGAAAGTGCTTCGCAGTCGAAAAAAAAAGTGCGAAAGTGCTTTTGCCGATTTTTACAAGTTAGGTGCCCTAGCCTTTCATATAACCCATTTAAAACGGCATAGATACTCGAAAAAGCGCTATTCTGGTTAATATTATGAATTAAAGTGAACCCTTCCATTAACGAGTTCCCTTTTAGCGAATTCATGTTCAATTAAAACAAGTGAATTCATCGGCAACGAAAGGACATCTGCTAACACCTGCCGGGGACAAAACTTTCATGCAATGTATCACAGTGTCAGTTGCTTACTCGCGTGAACAGCAAAGGCTTTCACATTTGTTACTCCTTCCATCTAACAGACAACGATTGGAACAGGCAGACTGGAAACCATATTAGTTACAGGGTGGATCATTTGTACAAATCCCGTGCAAAATAATCCCCCCCTCCCCCCCAAAAAAAATATAAATAGCAATCAACTAATTAGGGTTAGGTGTGCACGTGCGCTGGAAATTCAACTTTTCGATTTATCCCTAAACCTAATCTGATAATTATTAATTTGTGATTTTGAACCACTTTGAAAGTCGCCACCGGCTGTTTTAAAAGATAGGTTAACCTACCTTCCCTCGGAAATATTAAGCAGGATACTCCCCTGTTTTAGGAGATAGGTTGACCTACTTTCCTTCCAAACTTTTTTCTCGGAAATATTACACAAGATCACTTTGAAAATCCTCCCGTTTCCTGAGCTAGCGTGACCTAATTTCTCATTTACATTTACATTATACTATTTCAGAGCTTAGCCAAAGACAAGTAGTTTTTAAATGTCCACATGCCTTGGTTTGCGTGCGAATTAGTTTAAATCGGGCAGAAAACATCATATATTGGCAAAATGTTTAGTAATGCCATGTACCTTCAGCATTCATAAATAGCACTCTTTGTAATGCTGCTGACCTAGTATCAAATATTCGCATCACAACACCACTTGCGAGGTTTCCATATATTTCAATTACACTAATAGGAACGATTACACCAACGAGTTTTCTTTTGCTAAGGTACACGAAATATAACGAGGGTGATTCTTGAAAAAAACATGAATATAAAAAATAAACGAATGATATGATAGTGGATCCCAAATAATTTTGAGAGTGTCTCGAAATACCAATTCATTTGATAAATAATTTTTATTCGACCACATGAACACTGATATCCTGAAAATTAATGTTGAAAGAGAGTACGCATTCTCAGATATAGGACATCCAGTCGCGATATTCAATCGTTCATATGCACAAATCTCACATTAATAGTAATTGTTACCCAAGTTTGTAAAGTTTAGAAACCAACAAACAGAAAATAACTTATCCTAAAACACAATTAAAATTCAGTCGGCAATAAATTGCGCCAAGACGATGCCATACAAAACAAAAAAGATTTGGTCGCGAGAGTTACGTTAGATGACTGCAAAACGACGTTGTTTTTTAAGCAGAATGTAAAACAATCAAATTGAAAAAACGGGAGTTACGACGCCCTTAACACATCGTGTGTATTAAACTTCCCTGGTAAGTACTTTGGTAAGTACTATTATTATTATTGTACTCATACACCTGTTGGAGTATTTCGGACAATTTCGAATTTAAAATAAATGAAAACCCGACATATAATAAAGACGCAAAAGTAAAATGAACATTTATTGAAAAAGTTGTTATTTAAGAAAGACAACATGATCGTACAATTCCGCCAAAACCTCGATGTTTGCAAGTGAGATGATAAATAAATACTTCCCTGTATTCGATCAATTAACTTTAGCGTATCGTTGTTCTGCCAACAAACAGCCGGGTGCAAAATATTTCCGTCCTGTGATATGCTCACAAATATTCTCGATATTAATATCATACCCTCGCGTATGTACTTTCTATTAGCTCTTTAGTGATCCCTTCCATCCTTGGCCAAGTCATGTTTCGAATATGTGAACGTTTTATTCGACCATACATGGCCGGCGAGATGTTAAAATTGTAAACAAGAGAGGTAAAATCAATCGGGAATTTCGTTATAACGGCTCGTTTACGAATTGTTGCGCCTGTTATCTTCGAAAATGATTACATTTGTTGTATTTTGGGGCATTTAAGCAGTAATAATTAGGGCATGACATCATCAAAACCGTCAAGTGAGATCTTGAAATTGCAAATTCCGTAAATAAAATTGTGAATTACTCGGTAACGAATTCAGCTTTAATGACCGTCGGGGTATTGTTTTTTTGAAAATTATAATTAATGTGAGAGCGCCAAAAACATACAGTCCATACCGATGCGACTGCAATTTATATGGCCGTACTTGGTGTGGCGCGTTTAATAATAGTGTAAAATAAATTAATCGAATATCAATTGTAACCAAGCCTGTGAGCGTGTTTATTTACTGTGGGCAAAAATCGTAAGATACCATCTTGAGACAAATTCACTTCTATTGCAAAATCTTAATTTTCAGTTATTGTAGTTATACAAATAACGTGTGGCAACTTTTTAATTTATCAGCGACCAAAAAACCGCCCCACACTCGTCCAAACGTGTGTCGAGCTTGAACGACAGGAACGGATTCATCGACGACTTTAATTAGGGAAAATATGTATTTTATTGGGTATGCAAAATAAATGTAACAAAACGCATTTTTTTGTGATATAACTTTGTATTTTCGGAAACGGGTTGCCGTGAAAGGTAAAATTTGATCTAAATTAATCGCAAAAATGTTTTATTCAAAATGTAACAAAACACATTTTTCGCGATACAATTGTATTTTCGGATACCGGGTGTCATGAAGAGTAAAATATGATCCGAATTAACCCTAAATAATGTTTCTTTCCAAATGTATCAAAACGCATTTTTTTCGATATAACTTTGTATTTTCTAATGTTTTATCTATCGTCTAACTAACGTCTGGTACACATCATTTTCGGGGAGAACTCTAGCCCGCGAAACGTCATTTAATTTAAAATAGAGAATGTCTCACGCAATCCAAAATGGAAAATCGCCAGTAAGTCGACAGGGATTCAACCCTCCCGATTCAGTATTCTATATCCCCCCGTGTCAGAACTTTCTGAAGAATGGAACAAAGAACCCGCCAAACCACGGCGGAAGAAGGGGAGTATTTTTTGCACTAATAATTAGGGCGTGACATTATCAAAATCGTCAAGAAACTGGTGAATTTGCAAATTCCATAAATAAAATTGTGAATTGCTCGGTAACATTTTAGCTATAATTATCGCCTGGGTATTGTTTTGTTGAAAACAGGTTGAAAATTGAGGGAATTAGTTACAATTAGCGCCTGACCTCTATTAGGCACTCGAGCACTCGAAAAAAAAGCACTCGAGCCCAATCTTTTTAGCATTGAGCCGCATACGTAAAATATCGTGTAGAAGAAGTGCTGTTCATTAACGTCATCTCGTCTTATGACCACGCAGAAATGCCTTTATTGCCGAATTATTCAATCACTATTTTAAATCAACATTCAGGATTGGCACAATTTCAGATTTGCGAAGTTTATCACCATAGTAAAACATGAGAAAGTTGATTATCGTCTTAATAAATATCTGCATCACGGTATCGACAATAATATTACCATTCGCATAAAATTGGGACGGTAAATTTACAAATCTTGATAGGTAATAATAAAGCCAATGCAAATGTTAATTTGGGTCCTCAATGTCTTCAACAGCTGTTGCCGATGTGAGCGAACGGGTAAACCCGAAATATAAAACTTCGATGTCCGCCGACCCGCAAGAATTCATATTTGTAAAAAAGAGAGGGCGTGAATATAGATTACCAAAACCTGGATATCGCCATCAAAACGATCGATGACAAGAACAATTAGCGATTACAACGGAATTAAACAGTAAAAAGGCTTTGTTGCTGATTTTACCGACGTTCCAAAAATATTTGTTATTCGGTACTCGTTAAAAATATTCGATTAAAAAAATATTGAATTTTGCCCACCCGTACTCGCATATCAATGAGAAATAGTTGTGTAAATATCGCAAAATTCCGGAAAATGCCACGTGCTTTCAACATTGTGATAACAATAAAATGGCACTTAATGGTATTTTGTGAATTTGATGATTTTGCAAATCTGTGACATGCTGCTAAAAGTTTCGTCTGATTTGAAAACCTTGCACTTTGGTCACAATTCATCCAAAGTGACTATAACACTTTACTAACACTTTTATAGTCATTTTAAATTCATCGATATCATTGGTAGTCACATGACCACTCTCGTTAAAAGAAAGGCACTGCGTAGTATTCCAACATCTGGTTTCAAAGACGCCGGGAGCGTTTTTGCGGGAGAAGCCGAATGGTGTGCTTACATAATAATCATATTATAAACAAGCATTTTGCCGTTAATGCAAAAGCTTTATCTTCTATGTCTGCATCTCATAGGTTAGAATTCCGGTAAATATCGTTATGATATGCAGAATTGAGTTACAAAAGTACTAGTATGTTACTTATTTGCCAACTTAATACTCGAAAATATTTGTTAACTTTGAATTTTTATTCTATTCAAAATGGGAAAAAAGTGCTATTTCTCTTCAAAATCGGGAAAAAGTGCTATTTCGCAGTCCCTAAAAAAAGCTGCGAAAGTGCTTCGCAATTTTCGCAAAAAAGTGCGCTAATAGTGAACACTGCTTGTCACATATAATATCTTCTGCTTCGTTGTTTTTGCCCTTATTTCTAATAACGTCTATTATATCTTTGTTTCATTGCAATTTTGGTGTATTAGACAAAGTGTCACCGAAAACTTTGAAAATGATATCTCAATTTGATCAATCCTGTCAAAAACAAGGAATAAAACGCATATGCCTGTGAACAACTATTTTTTTCAATGTAGTTCAAGAAAGGCAGGTTGAGAAAACAACCAAGTTATGGCCATATGCAACATGTTATACTTAAAATAAAAAGAATCATATAATAGAATACTTACACTATTTTATTTTATCTATGTAATTGTGAGTAGATAATAGATATTTTTATGACCAGCCAAGAAAATGAGTTGACATAAAAATTTTCAACTCACGTTCTGAAAGCTCGCATGAGGGATGTGGGTGAAAGAAATAATGGACCTTCAGGTAAACAAACGCCTTGTTGATTGATCCAATTCAAATAACCTTTTGTCATTCCTGCTTGGCCGATAGCTCGGGCTGAGAGGTAGATAAATTTGTATCCATTTCTAAGAGAAGAAAACATAAGTCATACTCACATGTCGCTTCCAACTATTGTTCCATAACAAATTGATAATTAGGAATATTCTATGAGGTTGCATAAAATGCTAAAGCATATATAATCACATCAGTTAAATTTCATGGTGTTATTTGCTTAGGATGTTTTGCAACTAACTATAGAGAAGTACTTCTTCCAATATCATGACCTACGACCATAATTATGAAATACTAATCATCTCATGAAGAAAGGCTTACTTCCCCTTTCCAATGAGTAATCGCATCATAATCATTTTCCTAATGAGATTTTTTTTATAATTCCACTCATCAAAACAAGGAAATAATGGTATGGTAACATCATTCAGACAATACATCCCTAACCATCAGTTTGAAATATGTTAGGAGCTGTTGCGAATAGCGAAAATATTCGAAAATGAATAGATGAAACATTATAATACAAGAGGGAGTCCCTGGATTCGAAGAAGTCAATCAATGTGCATAGATATACCACTATGAATGTAATAAATTATGTAAAATGGACTCAGTTTCATGTTCCAAAATTCTATGTCACTAAATAAATCAGGTTGTACTGAATTGGGTAGACGTTTGGCAATGGAAAATAACTTAAAATCTGATTAAGAAAAAAACATACTTGCTGATGTTGTGATATAATTGAGCAACTCCACCTTGTGTCCAATCCTTTCCGACAACTGGTAGAATTTGTCCAAAAACATCAGATCTGAAGACAACAAAAAAATATATAACAAACTTGCATTATTTTTTTTATTGCAGTTGCATCGTTTCATTTTAATAAAACTCACTTTGTTATTGTTCCATCAATATCTGATACAACCAATCTATCAGTATATTTCCATAAATATATAGTTGCATAACATCGGGATGTTCCTTGATATTGTGACGTAACACTAAATGAGACCTCATTCGCACCAGGCTTTAAATTGAGAGATTTCTACAAAAGCAAAAAAAAAGAGTGATCCATTATAGAAAAAATAATTTGTTAGAAAATAATTTCCTACTCATTGCCATAGTTAAGCTATCGATAGAGCATAGGCTTAGTTGTGTAACTTGTGTAACTCACAAGGTTGATACTATTATCATTGCAAAATTTTTCAAACGGAGAAGGTTAAAAATCTTACAGGGCATTGTCACTCATTTTTCACCAGTAGTACACAAAAACAGTAAATCGTATTGATAATTTAGTTGGTGTACGATGAAGCATTGGTATGTTTTCATTCTAAAATAATATTGTTAAAAGTTGATAGCAATTTCATTACAAGTTTACAACGACACTATATTGACTGCAACACATAAAACTATTTCATCATTAAACTTTCATCACTGTAAAGTTGCCAATAAAAATGAACAGCCATGGAATACAGTTATCACAATATACCAGTTGATCTGGAGTGAGTCTTGTTGTTTTCTTCATGCTCTTCGTTGGAGATAAATGTTGAGGAAAAATATTCTGCATAGTTTGAGCTCTATAAATGGGAAAAACAATATTCTAATTTGTTAGGAAAAAAAAAATCAAAAACAAACAAGATTTCCTATACATATATTGAAATTTCAGGTTGTTAATTGGAATCTCTTTATTTCATTCTGTCACAACCAGGGCCGGGGATGGTTTGCAATCAGAAGAACTTAGCTGTAGGTTCAGCTCAAGAGCTTCATTGTTTTAACTTGGGAGCTAGGTTTCGGCTCAGGTTTAATAATTCATGTTACTGTTTAACGATTTTATTTCAATTGAATTATCAAACACAGTGTGATTCTACCCTGTGTCGACAAAACTATTTGGCAATATTTACAGATGGTTCGACTGTTGTCACCTGTTGATGGAACATGGAAGCATTTTTACACAGATAGCAAATTGATAACATTTCCATCATATGAAACGTTATGATCATTCGAGCATTGGTTCTCACTACTTCCCAACTTCCAGCTCTGTAGAATGAGCAGCACAACTAAAGATTTGCTGATTTTTTAATTTTGCAAAATCCTGATTCGATGAGAGTTTCAACTTTTAATATTGAATTTTAAACTATTTACTTTACAAATTTAACGTTAACTTAATATTGAGAATTGAATACTGTTAAATATTTGTAAGCTGAAAGAGAACAGAACTCAATTATAGATGAGAAAAAATAACTTGAGTGAAAGAAGCTGTAGACACTAAAATTTCTGGTAGCTCTGGCTCTATCTATTATATCAGGTGTGACTTAAGCTTCTACAAAATATCCCGGCTCTCCTGCCCTGGATGCAATGGAATGAATGGTACACTGCTGTTATTACAGTAAAAATCTCAAACCACTGCTTTCCAAGAACTGACCTCTTTAGATCCTTTCTTGTTATTGTGCTAATTTCATCTTCACAACTGGAGCTTTCATCAGTACGATTTTTAATTTCTGGAACGTTGGGTGAGGCAGAGAATGATTTCATGAGAGTTACTTTATTTGGAGCATTGGTGGCAACATCTTGATTTAACTCTTTATCCTTAATGGGACTTAAACCTTGATCAGAAACATTGCTACCTGGAGTAAATAAGAGATCGAAGAGTATTAAATGTTTTTTATCTTACAATAAGTTTGAGTCATATCAGGTAATACATAATCAAATAAAAACTTTTAATGTCCAGTCATACAACCTATATTGTTAAGTTATTATATATATCACATAATGTATGAGATGCTAATTTTGAATAATGTGCGGTCTGCAAAACAAGTTTTTAATTGAGTTTGGTATATGCGAGTAATTCCATTCACTTCGCGCTCAAAGCCTATACCGGAGTCCAATTTAATATTAATTATGCCTATGACGTTACAATGTCCTAACAGCTAGCTTGTGTGAAGCGAACAACGCATGTCATAAGATTGATAATCAAAATTTTTATGCCAGCAACTACTAGGAAGCCCATGTTGAAAAAAGTTGCGGCTCACGGTTTCTACTATTTTTTTTATCTGGCCCTCCTGTATCAAGGTTGCACACCTCTGGCACTATATAAATTTTCCCAACATGAAGCATATTATTACTTTGCTGCATAAAGGAGGAATTTAGAATATCAAAAAAATGATGAATATTATATTAATCAGATATGAACAGCAGTGAATTTACAGTTGATGAGAATACAAAAATTTATCTAACATGTTTTCATACTTATTGAGTCTGTTCTTTGCGAGCTTCTTCTCCACAGCCAAGATAATCTTCCTGCTGATGATGCTTGGACTCTTTTGCTTATTTGTTTATCAATAACACTTTCAACAATTTCCTGTAAGAATGTAAACAGGATTAAGAGTCAGCAATGCACAGTAATCCTTGGTTTGAAAAATCTTAAGTCTGCATACAGACATACATTTATCAAAATTTATTACTGAATATTTTAAATATAGAGTATTAACTTTCAAACAGAAGTTTAATTTGGGCAACAATGAATTTATTGACTCCTTTCCCTTCAATAACCATGATATGGATAGATGAACAAATAAAATTTGATGCTCACATTCGATAAAGGTTTCTTGAAAACACAAAAAGACAAGAAGAAAGGAGCTGCAGTTTCCCAGTCAAGATATCTGTCACCGAGCATAACAACCAACTCAGCATTGCTTGTGATTCCCACAGGGTCCAATAAGAACTGATCATAAGTTACCAGTTTTTCATTAAATTTTTCTAAAAAAATTTGATAAAACTATAATAAGTAATATATTCCTCCAGAAGCTGTGTCTCTTGCTTACAACAGTTTGATTATATTTTATTTGCTCATTCTAATATTGAATTAGAACCTAATAAGTTTAATAAAAATAATACAAGGAAACAATTAGGTTTGTTTCGGTAATAATGTCCGAACAATCTAGTTTGAAACAACTTTTGACCAGACCAGAAACTTATTGAGTTGAGAATCACTAAATCAGATGTTATTGAAAATTAACAGCTATTTAAATGTATCCTGATAAGTTCTATATTTACAAACATAAGCAAAAGGCAAATTTAAACTTGGTACATAAAAAAGTTTCGTATCGTTTAGACAAAATGTTGCAGACAAGGTGTCTGAAAAACAATGAGCTGGTGGCTCAGAACCAGACTTTTCAATTTTAGTATTTCTGAAAAAAGTTGAAAAAGTCCAAAATCGGCCACACCAAAATGTAGGTATAAATGGGATAAGCACGAAGCATTAGATTACATATTTAACCACATGTCTCACCTAAATCAACACTTAATTTTCCATCTTCAAACTTGCCACCACACAGTGATATCTTGATCGGTGACACACTCAGATCAGCACATTCACTAAATTTAAGATATGAAAAACAAAATACATATTGCTTATGAATAAAATGTTCATCAACACCCATATAATATTGTTCAAATTATATTTGATGAAATCTTTATTATACAGTTATGTGTTTTATATGAAAAAGGTCATTGAAATAAAGTTCAAAGAATTAAATCATGCAATATTTATTGTGTGTTCATTAATGAATGTTCCTTTTTTTAAATTCCCTTCAGAATAAGCCCAGTTAAAATGTACTGCTTGTGACACTTAATTAATAATCACTGACCAGTATTTCAGATACTCACCCAGGATCGTCTGAAACAAGGCAGTCAGTACCACTGTCTACACCAGCATCAGAACATGTAAATCGACCATCTGGTGTTCTACTTCGAACATTGTCGATTAAAGATTCTGAGTTCATTTCTAAAATAGTGAAGTTTTATTAAGTAATTGCAACTCTGCTGTATGAAACCTGCATGCAAACACATTAATATATTCTAAAAAATGTATTCTTTAAACAAAACTATGTGCACCTTGAAAATCTTGAGACTTTTGGTTGGTTCTTAGTCTGAAAAAAACATTAAATTTTAAACATATTCTTAATAAAGACAATAACATTCGCAAAGAAGACATATTGTTAAAATCATACAGATAAATACAGGTTGGCTTCATTTGGTTCTAGATCCAAAATTTCATCCAAATAAAGACCTTCTGTTGCAGGCGAGTTCGATCAGACTTCTTTTTTGGGCTTCCTGTTAAATTGAAAGTTAAAAACTGTTATCAGTATTGGCTATTTTTAGTAACATATTATAGTTACTAAAAGTGTCTATTCTTGCAAATTTGTCCAATAGTATAAAGACAACATGAACAAAATCATGGCTCCAACATAATGAGAATATTGTAAATATAATCAATACTTATATAACAAAGCCCATTATGATAAATGTCATCATGCAATGTATTATTTTTCGATTCAAAAATGTAAATCATTACAATCATAGGACGAAAAGGCCTGAGAAATTTTATTGCATGTATGTGATGTTCAATGGCCTATCAATAAAAATTAGTCATGCTCTTTATTTTTGTTTCATTACTCCCATTTTGACATAATAACTCTTATGCTCTGGTTAATTTTAACAAACTAATGAGCGTTTTGTTGAAAATTTACTATTAAAGATGTTGCAGTTTTCATCCAAATTAAATTCTGGAAATATGGAAAAATAAATTAAAAAAAGTACAGTCTACAACAGGTGCTCCAATCAAAAACCAGTCTCTAAAAATGTTACAATGAAGCTTTGTGATACAAATAATTTCTTGAAACTTTATGTATTCTGAAAACACAGTATAGCAACAAAGAAATTCCATACATTCGGATTTACAAGTTTTTGTGTCATATTTTTGAAAATCTGAAAGGAATTTTCCGCTCAAAAGTGAGAAAGTTGATCGTAAGTCCGATGTCTGATTCACGATTAAATAAGTATGATTTGATTGCTTCATACCTTCTCTGGAAGATAATGGCTGATTTGTGTCAGAACTATTCTCCTCTTGGTTGGTTTTAATTGGAACTTCAGAAATTTTAGTTTCACTCTCATGGAAAACACTGTCAGATTTTGCCAAATGTCTGGAAAATGAAATATTTAATTAATTCAGTCAATGCAAATCAACATTTTTACCACGGGTTTGACATACAACAGCAAAAATGTAACTATCCGAAGTATTAGGCCTATACTTTAATTTATATACTTGTTCAGAAATATAGCATTAGTAAGAGAGTAAATGACAAAAAATAGCAGATATAGTAAGCAAGAACCTTATTTTAGAATGTCGATTATTCTCATTTTCAATAGATAGTTTAGACATTGATGGAACAGTGAGGTGTCGTCTTTTACCGGCAGAGTCTTCTGGTAACTGGCCCCAGTCCCAGCCAACTGGGGTTGATGCTTGATTTCGCTCCACGGCTTCTGAATCACTGTATGGAGTGTTTGACAATTCTATGTCATTTTCGTCTCCACTGAAAAAATGAAATAAATAGTAGTGAAATGTCAGACATTCAAACAGCACTGAAGCATTGAATTCATCAACAGATTTCACTAAGGAGGTATTAAGTTCTTCTCAAAATGGTTTATCCCAAGAAGTCTGTTTCAATGTCAGTGAGCCTTATTGGGAATCATAAATTAATAATATGCTTTATGAGGAAACATTGCACTAGTTACCAATGCTGAGAAAAACTACATTATTAGGCCGCTATCAACATTTTCAACCAATAGCAATATTTGTATATAAATCATAGGGTTTCAGTTGCTACAGAATCAAAAAATACAATGTTACCTTTGAGGCAGTTCACTATCCGAAAAAACACTGCATAATCTTTTGTATGTCGCCGTATTTTCACTGTCACTGTAATATAAAGATGTAAATTAATATTTCAAACTACAAAATTAAGAGTTGTTGAGTTATGTCGACTAGAGATTCAAAATCATGCAGTAATGAATGCATGCTGTAAATTTTATCACTGACTTAATGTGGGAATAATTAGTCCACACCAATAACTTCAGAAATTTTTAGGAAATTTTTGAAATCAAATTTTTTTACCATCTGTAATTTAAATAGTACGACGACACATCCTTTATTAAAAGGAAATCGGAAATTCAATATTACAATATGAGTTTAATTAATATGATGGGAGTAAAGGTCACCTATTCATTTCACAAAGAAAAAATGTATTATTAATAAATTCATAATAAAATTTCTTAGTATGATACAAGACAAATAATGTATTAATTTAAAATTACAAGATTTCATGAGTATGATACCGAGAAATTTTTGTTTTGCTCGTTTCATTTGAAAAGTATCAATTAATACACAGGAACTGGAAATAATGATTTTTTCCATTCAGTACCAGACATATCAAAAACATGCAAATAAGATAAAAGGCCACTGTTCTACAGACATACATTTTTGAAACCTTACCATAAGTCCATAACAAGTCAGGAAACGTATCTAAATCAAAACTAAAACCAAATTTCTAAAACGGGAAAAGAATATAACTATATATAAGTGCAATTCTATTTTAACAAATGCAAAATTTCACGAAGTCGAATAATTATGCTTATGATGTAGTTTACTATTCAACATATGACTCGCAGAATTATAATAACGTTCAATCCAAAAAAAAAAACAGTAAAAAATTTCAATTGACTTCTCTAATTATTATTGATTGATTTTGACTGCTTATGTTCACCATTAGTGGGAATATATCATACCATGTTGTCATTATATCATACCACTAAAATTTGAATATTCTGATAAAAATTGTTTGCAGATTTTCTTAAAATCCTAAATTTCCAATGTCATGGCAATATGCATTTATATTATAAACAGCACACATTACTATGAAATAAAAGCACAGGATATGACATGCTTCAGGGTTTCTGCAATAAGTACCTGTCTGTATCACTAAATAAACTAATAGATGTAGAATCAGTGCCACTGTCATAGCACATTGTTAAACGAAATGTAGGTATGGTGAAATCACTGTTAAATAAAATAGGTGGAAATGTCAAATAATAAATACAAAAAAAATAATTTGAAGACAACAGCTCAAAACATTCAAGAAAACTGTCTGCGAACTAATTGCATGATAATCTGCAATTTTTGCAACCAGGTTGCAACATAAAACGAGATCAGTGCAGGTTTTGAAACCAATAGAGATGTGTTTTGTTAGTTGCGGTAGATTTGTTTCCCACAATAGATAAAGGTATGGACATAAGAGTTCTCATACAGAAAACGCATTTGAAGAGGAGATTATAGCCTATCTGCTATCCAGCAGTCATGTTGACAAATGACCATAAAATGACATTTTTACCAGGAATAATTAAGCATATGGACATACATTATTAGGTAATTAGCAAATTATGGATTCAAATCTGTTTGAATTAAAGACATAAACATAAACAGATAATTATCTGTAACGATTTCATTATATGTGTTTATTTCTATAAATTGATCCTAGCATAAAAAAAAGGAATATTCGAATCTGAATCATAGAGTTCGCAGGGCTTTAGCAATCACTATTTTTGGAGGAACATCCTACCCAAATCGCTTCGAATTTTCAACTTACTCTTGTATATCCAAGTTCAACTGAGGTTCGCATGGATGATTTCTCTTGGACAGTGGACTTTGTTCAATGCTTGGTAAACCTGAATTTGTGTTGTGCTGTGATTGATTAGTATTGCTGATGTCATCTTCAGAATCTGATGACTGAGAATGTTCATTACTCATTTCACTCGTGGATAAACTTCGACGTTTTCTGCGTTTTCTCCTCTTTCTTTTAACAATCGGTTCTTCATTGGAAGCAAATCTAGGAAGAAAGAATATAAATGAATAGGCATTATAAGTATAACCTTGCCTTGGAGCTAATTTAACTCAATAATGGAACAATTTGAAGAAGAGCAAGAGGCCAATGCTGGAATACCTAAACACAAGTTACAGTTACTCACTGATCCAAGTCTGACCAGTTCCCAGAAAAATTCAGAGCAATAAAACATAACTCAGAAATTTGATAGGAAATTCAAGGAAAACATAAAAACGACACTCCTTGAAGAAGATCTTCCCCTCAATCAACTACTAATCATTTTGAAACGATTAGTCTAATAATCAAAAATGACACTACTCAGAAAAATAAATGGTTAATAAAGCAGAGTAGTTGATGAAAGTAATGAAAATATTTTTTATTTTTTCAAACTCAACTTATTTCAAATATAGGCCTACTTGAAAATTCATATATTTTGGGACATTCTTGTGAGAGAACATTGTTTCTGATTCAATTCTCTGAAATTGACTTTTTACTATCGGATATTATGCTTAGCAAATTGCTTGCGGCAATGAATATTTCATAGGAAGTCAAAACGAATTCCTGACGGAACACTCGAGGCATTTAGGTTATTTCAAGCATGTCTTTTCATGAAAAGCAGCATTGGAACAAAGCATGATTCCTCAAGCTATATAGGCGTTCATAATCTGTAATTGTGGTTGAGCATGTTGTGTTTACATTGTGACCTGTTACTATTTGTAAAGAAGCACAGTAAAGTGATACAACATTTTGTTGATGGGAAAGTGTTTGATTTACAAAAAACATATAGGTAACACACATTTCTGTTTTCACTTGGGTTCGGATTGTTTGAACTTTATGATTACTAAAATCTAAGCAACACAGATAACCAAAGCAAAAAGTCAGAAAAAGAGATTCAAGAGACATGTGTGTGCTTTTTAAAGAGCCTTTGATAACCAAGCAAAAACCAAATTTATAAACTACTTGAATGATATATTTTTATGAAAAAATTACATGATATTTGATCTTTCATAGATATGCAAAAAAAGTATTAAAACATGGATCTGCATTTTCCCCTGCTTATAAATAAAAAGTGATATAATAAGATATAAATGATTTTGGGAATATTTAAAAAAAAAATCAGCTGATACAAAAACCATCTGAGTACGTAGAATGGTATCTTAGTGGTCAGATTATAGCACCATGTTTACAACAATGGTATACCTAAGTCATTGACCTCGTGAGGTTACTATAGGACAAATGGCCTCATACTGGCAATAGTGATCTGTTGAGTCATATTTGCCTTGCCTTTATCACACCACTTGTTGATCATTTAGTTTAGCAATTTTTGATCTTAATCATGAGTTTTAAAATGAAGATGACGTCATAATAATTTGGCTATTCAATTCATTATCTTTTACCATATATGAATAAGCATTAAACTATTTCAGTGCTGATTCCTAAAATTAATTTTATTGGTAACAAAGAGTAGGTGTGTCAAAATCTGCAAAAACTATGATTAAGTTCAGTGTAGTGTTATTTCTCAGTATAAAGGTGATAATGTAATTAATTCAATGACGTCAGGAGTCATTCCACTGACATTACTGTGAATTCACGCCTTTACGACCTGACATTATTATTATTGGACAGTGGCATACAATTATATTCAGAACTCATTTATAACTATGAATCATAAATCACGGCATGCTTGTTTCCAACTGAAAATTGTTTTAAAACATGATCGAGAAAAACACCATGTGATAAAACTGAAAAAATTTAATTAAGCAATATAAATCTGAAAGAAACACATTCAGGTTGATACATTTTAATATGTTTGAATAGATTAATATTCCTTCTTTTATACGAGGTATCACAAATACAAACCTCATATCAATCTAGGTATAAATATCCATAACAATTATAGATATTAATTAACTTCTTAAATGCTCATTGAATTCATTTTGGATTTGAATAAATATCACAAACATGAATTCTGTAAATATTATAGGACTATGAATAACGAATCAACTACAAATATTCAGTTTTTCCGATTCACATCTGCCTCCAAAGGCATGGGGAATAGCAAAGCAACACCAGCTAACCAGGTCAATAATTAGGGAAAATTACTGGAAATTCAGGGTTATTAACTTATAGTAAACAATTCATCAATTGTTGAAATTTCACTCATTTTTTTATGGTTTACACAAAGTGGACGGAAGTGTGGAAATTTAGATGTAATCAACATGTTTTGTAATGACTCGTAACACTAAGTGTTTGATTGTCTGCTACAGTTATCCCATTTCAAATAGATGCACTAGACACTAGCTTAAGTTAATTAATAAAGCTCCAGTGTTTTAAGGTAGTCTGTACCATCCTGAAGGTATTGAGCCACACACAGTGTACGAAACTCGTAAGAAGATGTGGTATTATTTTGGTTTGGAAATAGGGCGTCATTGTTTGCACAATATCCTTGCATAAATATTTACAAATTGGTGTTGTAGTTTGATAGTAAAATATACAAAAATCATCTAATAAAACTGACTAGTGATTTATAAATACTCGCAGAATTAGAGTCTGCATATTGAAAAGCAATAAATTTCAAATATTTGGGACAACAAACTTTTATAAATAATATCTCTCAAGTCTCCACCCTGGAATATCTGAAAAGATAATTCAGATAGCAGTGACTCATGAACTTCGCATCCCTTTGCTTTATTTATAAGACAATTTATATGGAAAAGTTGAAATTTTGCTCAAAAAAAGCCAAAAATGCAATTAAAATATTTTTTGTTTTCATTTTTAGAATGAATTCACAAGGGGTTAATTGAAATATGCCGTTTTTTTACTTGAAACAAAAATTGTCTTGGTGTAATGATTTAAAGTAATTATATGTCCCCAGTGTTGAAAACAGCAACAACAACAAAATAATATCTCACCATAAACAATGCTATTTCTCTTACATAATGTCAGTAAGCTGTTAAAAAGAACAACGAAAAAATCATATTTGAGCACAGATCAAGTCAAGTATAGTCAACAAACCTTTCAGAAATATCATCGACAGAAGGTGATACTGGACGAGATGGAAGTGGAGAGGTCAATAATCTTGCAGGTATTTCTTCATCGTCTGTTTCCACGACAAAGAAAGCTTCACCTTGATCTCCGAGTTTCATATGCAAATCTACGATTTCCTCATTGATTGTGATGTTTACCTGAATTAAATCCAAATTAAATTTCTGGAACTTTAAATTAGATTTGTAAACTGTAAAATTAGGTTCATATGGACACTTGACAATAATACGTAGTAGCAACTGAAATACATTATAATTGTATACCTTCATGCCCACCCCAAATATTACACCAGAGAAATTACTAGTATATTTAACAATGGTATATGTATATACCGATAATAGGAAAGAAGGTATTCACATGAGAACCAAATTGAACCCACCAATTAAACAATTTAGCAAATATCCTTGGGGAAAACATCTATCCGTATGATACTTTCATTTTAAATGACTTGAATTTTAAATCAAAATATTTATCTTTATTTTATTAATAAAGCTAACTTGTCAGAAACAAAAATTTTTTCGAAATAGACAAGACAAGAAACTAAAATTGTAGAAAAAATTAATGAGCAATATATGGAAAATTGCTTGGCTGAACCAATCACCAACATCACAATATTGAAAGTGAGCAAAAATAATCTTGGACATATGTACAGAATGTGTATGCATACCCTGATTAATGAACATTAACTGGAAAGACACTAGGTAGGCTGATTCATAGTCAAACACAGGATAAAATAATCATCCCTCACCACTTTTTCTTTTGCTCTGAGAACACCTAGCTTTCCAAATCTCACATGAAATGGTGATGCAGTTAATTCCTTATTTTCTTGCTCAATTACGAGAATATCAATAGCACCTGATGAAATAAATTAACTTATAAATTTAAACATAAAAAACATACATCGAATTACAATCATGAGCATGAGTACAATGATGTAATGTGGCAGTAATAAATCCTATTTCATCCCTCTGGATGTCTCAAAACCCACTAACAACAATTTTGAATGCTTCTAAGGTCTATTAGACACTGACATTCAATTTATATATGAACACATGATTTCTACAACCATGTTTCAACAGATTTTTATATAATATAGACTGACCGATAAACCACAAAAATTTGATCAGAGTCAGCTCATCCCAAATAAAGTCATCAAATAATATCAAGTCAAGTTTATTTTTTCCATCCATTAAAAATTATGAAAAAATGATAATCACTAAGTTTTACTGTGGAAGGGAAATCGCAGAGAACCAAAGCTGGTTATCAAGCAACGATAACCGGAACGTAACTTAAATAGGCCTACTAGACACGGGTGGCAAACACAGAAGAAATTATGATAAGTTTTAAGAGGAATGACAACAACATCAGTAACATAGAAAAATACAAGCAGGTGGGTTACTTCAGTTTTACACCTTCCGGATCAGTTTTAGGCAATAATAAATAAATGAGAAACCAAATATACGGTACCTGTTAATGTTGCAGGATTAAGCTGGTTATACATATCCTTGATAAGGCGAGCTCCTTTGTATAGCACATTCATTTTTGCAGTTCAGCAGTTGATGAAAACAAACGAACTGTGGTTAAAAGAATGATAAGATGTGAATGTGCCATTCAGTACGACACAGTTCTCCGATTCCAAGAATAGCTCCCACATGAATTAAAACATTGAGTGCAAACCCCTCCTTTACGAGACAGCCTGGGCTTCCATATCCAGATATCGGCTAATTAAAAATACTTGTGCCAAACATCGAGCCTATACATGAGTTAGCTATTATACGATTAGATCAAGTTACAGATGTTACAGTTTCTGAGTTTTAGTATTCAGAATACATATAAACATGGACTAATATTACTAAATTGGAACAGAGCTGTGTACATGCAGACATGGCGAAGTAAGTGTGTGACATCCAACAAAGCATGGAATTCAAATATCTGAATATACTGATATTCACCTGACTGCCTGATGCTGTGATAAGTATTTATTACTCTGCTGAAGATTTTAAATATGCCAGAATTCAGGTATATCGGTATATGATATTGATTCAAAAAAAATCATGAACATCTGATAAATTTCTCCAGATCATTATCTTCTTGCATTCGACAGTTAATAGAGACAGACAGAACAGATACGATACAGTATATACCGGTGGCGGTAGGTTTGAGAGATAATACTTCTGCTTAGTGCAGTAGTTGAAATTCACTTTTAAAACTATATAGTCTATTTGTCTAGTATGCTGATGAGATAATAATGCAGTAATGCAACATCAGAAAATTATAAATATAAAAGTTTTTTAAAATTCAGCAATATCAGAATATAACGTTAGCCAGACTAGTTCAGGAGTTTCAGAGTTTACAGATCTGCAGAATATATATACTGATATACGTTCCGATATTCGAGATATAGAGAGAGAGATTTATTATTCCGCACACAAAAAACATTTAGTTTTAATAGTCCAAATACGTTGATAATAAGACACAATTTCAAAGAGTTTGGGCGTTGATTCTTGAGAAAGAAAAGTGTATATGCGCGAATTCTTAAATTCAGGCATTGAAGCTTGAAAAATAAAAATACACGAGTGTGAACTCGGGCTTTAGACTTGAAGTTAGTGTTGAAGTGTTGAAGTTAGTTTTGGTTCAGATACCTATTTTTGTGTGAAAATTCTGTTAATTAACATACCGCCCGAGACTAAAGATTGATTCTTGATTGTTTGCTCAATTCCTTAAATCAGTAAATGTTGGGTATGTTTTTCATTGACTTGGTTACTGATAAATTGCTTTCTCATTTCAGCATTTTGATTGACAAAACTGCAAAAGCAGGCAAACTACACCGGAAAGTCGAGTGCCATTAGGGCATAGCAAAACTGAAGTTACCGGCATAGCCTATATAATTCTGTAATTTCATATTTAACATTCAGACATTCCAGCATTCATTACTATACCGCAGTACTGGTACCGTACCGGTACTACAGTACTAACAGGGGATGATAAGTCAGTGCTGCAGTGAAATACGGTAAACTGATAGAAGTCTGGAATTGGAACTGGGGTGGAAGTGGTGACTCCTCTTCGGCCCATGGGCCGGGGCCACGGCCCATCAAATTGGGCCTAGGCCCATCAGGCTATGGGCCGCGGCCCATCAAGTTGTGTAAAGGAACTATTCACTTGGCTAACACAATTTTGTAAAAATTGAAAATTTTGGTAAGATAATTGAGTTTTTCCTGACGGGGCCGCTTCCCATAGCTTGATGGGCCACGGCCCATGTGGCCCAATTAGATGGGCCGTGGCCCCGGCCCATGGGTCGTAGTGGAGTCACCACCCCTGTAGTGGAACTGTGTCATATTATGGAGTACCGTATTCAAATAAACTACGGTATCTATCTATCTACAGATCTATATACCGGTAGGACCGTGGGATTGTTTACACCGATTGCGATCTTCGTACTCTGCGCTATAAAATCTGAACCAGTCTACAGAACTAGCAATGCTATACCGGTACCGGTACCCGCGATTCTCTCGTAGTTCAGTAGTTTGGATAAGTTGACTTTGACTGTTTGATGACGCACTGGTCATACCGGTACAGATCATTCCCTCCTGTGTCCTGTCTATACCGGTACCAAACTAATTTATTACCGGTACTCAGTTAGGCTGACGGACAACTCGACTACACGGACAACTCACCAGAGACAACTCGACTACCTAGAGGCCTGGTGAGTTGTCCGTCTTTTGGCATTTTCTATGGTGGTGTTTTAGGTCTATAGAAATGCGTTTTTGATATTTTTAGTGCTCGAATGTTGAGAAAAATAAATAAATATGCTCTAGAAAGCATTTTTATTTGTATAGGTGGCTTTTTTGATCATGTTGTATGAATACAAATACAGTCTATAGACGAAATTGGAGTAACGTTAGCGAAGTTAGACTGTTGACTTATAGGACTGTGTTCGTTTGATTTTTTGAACTTTATTGGTATTAAAAGTTTTGAATGAGCACCTTTAAATATATTAAAACCTTTATACTTCACAGTAACACTTAAATATTTATGATGTGAGCTCAGTAGTCTATGATTGCAGTAGTCTGAACTCGACTACGGCAGTCGCCCGACAGGCCGTCAACTCACCAGTCGAGCAAACGCTCTACGACGTGACGTCATCGATGCTCGAGGTGAAGACAACTCGACTACCGAGCAACGAGAGGCAGGCAACTCACCAGCCGAGCAATCGCTCTGCGATATCGATGCTCGTGGAGAAGACCTTGCTTTGCAAAACGCAGACTCAAGAGTTGCATAGCATTTACTTAGTGCCGACTGATATCAGTTGTAAGCCAACTCACCACCTGAGTAGTCTACCAGCCGACGGCTAGGTTCCATCTGCTGGGATACAACAATCGGGTTGGAGTTATGATGGGTGTCATGGGCCTGGTAGCAGTCCGGGTACTTCCACTCAAACGTTACGTCCTGTTTTTTTAATAGGCTGTACTGTTCCCTTGTCATTGCCACATCTGAATTATTAAAACTTGCGATGAAACCAATTTCTACAGACGTCACAGATGAGTCCCTCCTGTTTCATGGTAACGTTGTCGTCACATTTTTGGAGTAGTCATCTTGAATTCTTGTGTAGTTTTTGTGGAGTTAATATACCGTTAGTCGTCCTCGTTTCAGTATAAAACTGTGATGAAAACGACCTCGGCTAATGAGTATTTACGTTTGTAGGGGGCAGGCCGGCGATAATGAGGCTTTAAACTCGGCGATAACCGAGCAGTAATCTCGGCGCGCGGCTTCATTATCACCGATCTGGTACCTTATCTAATCTCCGTGCATGGATATCACTTCACTCAGGCCATCATGAGAATGTGCGTCACAATAATTTGGCTCGCCTATACGACAAGTGAGTGGTTAACCATATTTATATATGTCTTTGTACATCTTTCACTTCTTTTGTATTAACATGTTTTTGTTTTAGGGACGCTGGAACAAGAGACCTGATCAAGCATGCCATGGCGCTGTGCTATATACCAGCTATGTTTATTACGTCCATATTCACTGAATCACTGAACGAAAAGATGCAAACTCAAGATCTCCGCCGAATATTTTCAAAACACATGGCTATACAACAGTGTCTGGACTCCCAATGATTGGTCAGTATTCGACGTAGAAATAAGACCAACAATCATCTGGAAGGTTGGCACCGCCATTTTAACAGTATAAACTCGGAAAAATATGCCTTTTTACAGTTTAATCTCAACAATGTAGGAGGTAAGTATAGGGATAGAGCGGACGTTGTGGGGCGTGTCAACGGCAGGTATGCGGAAGCAACGAGAGGGTGCAACGTGTCTGGGAACAGAACAAGGAAAGAGAGTTATCTGTGGACTCTCTTCTTCGAAAGTGTTCAAGGATCTACGGGCCGCAGTATTGCAAAGAGTAAGTATGTAACGCAGCAAATTTCCCATAACGTTTAGTATTCAAATAAAATTCATTATTCGTAACGAAAAGGAAAACAAAACCTTCCATCCATTAAATTCCCCCATAACGTTTAGTATTCAACATCATATTAAATTCATTAATCGTGACAAAAAGTAAACATCTTCTATCCATTCTTCGGCCCAGTTTCTTTGCCAGGCGCAGCGACAGTGCCTATCTGTTCCTGGTTTTATTCTGCAAAAAGAAATTCCAACTCTATGACTGAAACCTTGCCGTGGTGAGTTGGCTTACAACTAATATCAGTCGGCACTAAGTAAATGCTATGCAACTCTTGAGTTAGCATCTCTTGTTTGCAAAGCAAGGTCTTCTCCTCGAGCATCGATATCGGCAGAGCGATAGCTCGACTAGTGAGTTGTCTGCCTCTCGTTGCTCGGTAGTCAAGTTGTCTTCACCTCGAGCATCGATGACGTCACGTCGCAGAGCGTTTGCTCGACTGGTGAGTTGACGGCCTGTCGGGCGACTGCAGACTACTGCAACCATAGACTACTGAGCTCACATTCATAAATATTTAAGTGTTACTGTGAAGTATAAAGGTTTTAATATATTTAAAGGTGCTCATTCAAAACATTTAATACAATAAAGTTCAAAAAATTAAACGAACACAGTCTATAAGTCAACAGTCTAACTTCGCTAACGTTACTCCAATTTCGTCTGTAGACTGTATTTGTATTCGTACAACATGATCAAAATAAGCCACTTATACAAATAAAAATGCTTTCTAGAGCATATTTATGTGTTTTTCTCAACACTTGAGCACTAAAAATATCAAAAACGCATTTCTATAGACCTAAAACACCACCGTAGAAAATGTCAAAAGACGGACAACTCACCAGGCCTCTAGGTAGTCGAGTTGTCTCTGGTGAGTTGTCCGTGTAGTCGAGTTGTCCGCCTCCCCTCAGTTAGCCTACTTGTTATCATTTTTCAATATTGCTGTATTGCGATGACAACCGTACCCAAAGTGACTATAATAATAGTGTTATAGTCACTTTGACCGTACCGTACCGGTACCTAATATTTTATTTTGGTTGACGAAAAAATAAAATTTCTCTCTCTATAGTGCATGAGTGCACTGCAGTATGGTACCATAGTGCTCCACTCTCCACTAAATGCTGAACTGTCGATCGCGAGTGGTTGTACCGGCACCGTATAAACTGTTTTTATTTTTATTTTTTTTTTTATTTTTTTTTAATGGGATAATATAATAAATTATAACAAAAAGTATATAACCATTCGAGCAATCATAAGATAATTAATCCAATATTCATTTTTCATATGTCCATTCCATCAGTGTTTGAGGTGTTGATCGTATCGGCATACAATTCATCAATTTTTAGTATATTGAGTTAGATTATGTACAATAAACGTAAAAAATCAAATATATTATACATGTTCATTTTAATACATACTAAATTTATACACACTAGATTTATAGTTCAAATACAATTCTTTAGTATTTCAAATTCTCTGACAAAATTTGGTGATTTTCTATTTTTTTCAATGTTGAGTCTGTAAGTGATTGCAGTTTTTATTTGTTTGATAACTAGGTGCTGATTAGGGGGATCACCTTCGAATATAACAGAATTTGTTTGTATCCATATTTTATATCTAGTGATTGAAATTAAATAAACAATAATATCTAAATCTCGTCTTGTAATGTTGGAATGTAACAAATAGCTTAAATCCAATAAAACACAAGTTTCATAATTTTTCAAAAGTCTGGCATTATTTAATTTCCTAACAGTATTTTCCATAAAATCAAAAACATAATCAAAATA